TAAATGGAATGTATGAAAGATGATCAACTGTAACAAAATATATGTAACAAGTACTGCCGATATTTCATTATGTATATTCTAATTTCCGTTATTTGCTGATAAAATATTATTACGATTCCAAATGTGCCATGGAGAGACTATGATAGGATTTTGCACTTCATTTTTTTATTTTTTATTTTTTAATTTTTTAATTTTGTATTTATAATACAAGAACCTAATTCGTGAGATTAGGTATCATTTGGTGTCGCTTTTATAATAAACAACAACGGAACTTTTTATAAGAATAATTGCTTATTTTTAAAGATTTAATTGTCATTTAATAATGAAAGACTTTTTAAAACATTAATGGTTTGTCTTTATTTTATTAAAATTAAAATATAAAAGTTATTAATTTATGACAGCTATTATTATATTACGAAGTCAAAATATTTTTTCATAACCTTATTGAGCATATGGAAAATCTTTTTAAAATCATGAATAAATCAGTAATTAAAAGTACTAAATTAATTAAATAATAGAAAACTAAATTTTTATTCTTATAGACAAAATGAAGGTGAAACAGGACAAAAGATCATTGATAAATGATGCAATTCATGCTACTCATCGAAGGATGAGTATTACATAGTAAGGATTCACTTAAGCCGCTTCTACATTAGTTGCAAGCCGATCGCAAGTTTGTCGCGACAGCCAATCTGAAGCTTGCATTTTGAAATTAACGCTTCATATTGAGCATCTCGATGAGCAGCATGAATTGTATCATTTATCAATAATGACCTTTTGTCTTGTTTCACCTTCATTTTGTCTATAAGAATAAAAATTTAGCTAGCAAAATATATGGAATTTCTAAAACTACGCTGCGTGATAAATTAAAAAACAAATCACAAATTGAATCTGCAACGGAACTACCGACCATTCTATCTTCAGAAAAAGGAAATCGATTGATCAATTGGATTTTGTATGTCAGCGAAAGAGGTTTTCCGATGACCAAAGCTCAACTGTTAGATAATGTGCGATTATTAATAGGTCAGTTACAGAGAATAAATCCTTTTACGAATAAGACCCAGACGTCACTGATGAAGCATTTATTCATCGATACGCTGAGCTATCACATCGTGTTGCACAGAATTTAACGGTTATCACAACATCGGTTAATGAAAATTGTTTAAGAAAGTGATTCAATGAAGTTTGTCAGTACTTGTTAAAGAAAGAATTGCTCTCTATTCTTGTTTCACGATACTTTAATTGCGATGAAAGCTCATTTTTATTGTGTCTAAAAGCAGAACAAGTTATTGTTAAAAAAAGGTGTTAAAAATCAGTATAAAACTGTAAATGTCGACAAAAAAGAAGCACTACATAACAGTAATGGCTAGCGCTTCTGACGTTATGGCATTTCCTGTGATTATGTATGCTTACAAAAGATTATCGGCAATTATAATGCAGAAAAGATAAAGTATTGGAATTTCGAACAAAGAATGGATGACTGTTGAATTATTTTATGAATACATTACTAACGTATTCTACCTATAGCTAAAAATCAATAACATTATATTCCTTGTAGTATAATTCAAGGATTCTTCGCACTTGACATTGTCTTTTGTCGACAACATAAAATTGAATTAATAGCTTTGTACTCAAAAGTTACGCACATTTTGATGGATGTAACGATTTTCCATTCTTCAAAATTGGAAAAAAACTGTCAATAATTGGAGACTAAAAAATAATGGAGAACGCCTCAAAAAAAATGTTTGGCTCATTGTTAAAAAAGGCTATTGATTCATTAGATCTTGCCTCCATGGCTAAAATGGATTTCAATCATATGGACTCTTATACCTTTTACATCAGATGCCGTGAATTTTAATATTTTAAAGAAGCAAAAAAGATCTGAAAATGTATGTGCTAAATCTAATCAATCAGATAAACAATTTATTAAATTTTTTGAACAGCAATTGCCAGAAGAAATGTTCCAAAAATTTAAAGAGGCAGAAAGAGCAAGAGCCTGGAATGGTGAAGTTAAAAATGAAGGACTTTTTCAGTATTGGCTGAAAATTAAGGGAGAAACCGGTAACATACCTAACAAAGTCAAAATTGAATTTTAATAGTTTGTTTTTAAAAATTATAAATTCATATTAACAATTCATTTGATGATTCGTCATTGTAAATTATAATATTTGTGAACAAATATGCAGGAGTTATTTTTCTTAATGTTATAATCGTTATAATTCATTGTGTGCTTTAGAAATTGATTTATTATTTTTTGCGTCTTCATTCCAATTCTGTAAATAATACTGATTTTTAAGTCTAATAATTCTAGAAAAGGTACTTTTAATAACAGTGCAGAACAAACAATTAAACAAATAGTAATAATTCAGGATCCAAAAAATGCGACAAACGATAATATTCAAGAAATATTGTATGAAATATTGTATAGATGAAGATATTCCTGTTATTTTCTGTTCGGATGATGTTTACAAACCTGTAACTGCTGAAAGTACTTCAGCAGGTGAAATAGCAATTATTCAATCTGAGAAATCGCAACCAACTATCGCCAACTTTTTGGATTGTCAAGAAAAAGGTACAACATTCGAACATACTGTAGTTCAGCTAGATCCTTCATCTGATATTGTTGACAATTTAGAATCGCAGGAGAATAACGAAATCGTTACTATTTGTAGCAAATAATCGTATTTATTGCATATAAGGAATTATAATTAGTGATTGCTAGAGCAAATAGTATGACGAATTTAATTTTTTTACAGGTACGCAACAAAATGTTCGAAATGTTCCTTCTTCTTTCAAAAATGCTCTTTTTTGAAAATTCAACTTAAAAAAGAAAAGATTGTGAGAAAAAATTCCTTCAGATGAGTGGCAGAAGTATTACACAATAAAAGAAGAAAAAACTTCAAAAACAAAAAAGACAATAAGAAAAAAAAGAAGAAAAAAAACTGTAAAATTTTCAAAATAAAAAAGCTATAAAAAAGAAAATGTCAAAAAAAGGTTAAACTCATTTAACTAATTATTTTATTCTGCATGATTGTGTTTTCTATAAGTTCAATATTATTAAGAATTTATTTAGCTTATAAGTAAATGTTAGGTAAATGTAATATTTTATGTTTGGTAACAGGGTACGCAATAAATTGTAATTCTTTACAAAATTAATATATTATTAACATAAAAATCTATTTGTCAATAAATACTTTATTTATATTAATATTTCCCGTCAGAATACTAAATTTTTAATTGTAATCGGATACTGGGACAATTATGTTCGACGATTGGGTCATAACCTATTTTGATTATCCGGCTACTGGTACATTGACACACTTCGATTTTTATTTAAATATTTCAATTAATAATTGTTATGAGTCAAATAATTTTTTCTTAAGCTTTAACTTTTAAGCATTCAAATGAATACAAGTATTTGTATTCATTAGTAAGAAACTCATTCCATCTCCAATAAACGATCGCATGCGAATCCAAGTATCGTCAATCCATTACAACAATTTTAAAATTCACGAAGTCAAAATTAAATTAAAAAAATAATTTAAGTAATATAAAAGAGAGCTCATTCGGATGTTAGTCACATAATAACCGTTGAATACAAAAAGAGATGTGCCGTGCGAACAAAAGCATATCGGTCAAAAATAAACGTGACAAAAATAAACAAATTATAACTTGTTGAGAATATCTATGTAATCATGATTTAATGTCACAGTGTTAATTTGCATGTTTAGACCATTGGATTGGATTTATATAGAACATCTCCGATTATTAGCTTATTATAATTTCTTTCAGAATCCAGAATTCTCCATTATCCCAATCTAAGTCATGATTGCAACTGACCCTATGATCTGTGATAACTGAGTTGATGTCACTCTACTTATATGATTATCTAATCTCGTTTTTAGTTTTCTTCCCGTTTGACCTACATAGGAAGCATCGCAATCATGACATTCAATCTTGTAAACCACATTCCTTTTTGCAAACTTTGGCAAAAGATCCTTGTGTATTCTAATGAATACACTTTATTTGATTTATTGATAATGAACAATCCTATAACACATACTATTGATAAATTTGCAAAACTTGTTTATTTTTAAGTGAATTTCTTTCACGTAAAATGCTTCAAATCTTTTTTTTATTATTATAACGAGTTTAATTGTAGGCTGATGAAGATAAAATAAAATCGAAATGTCCCCACTTTATGTCCCTACTTATTGTTGAAAACTAGTCATTATATTTGTAAATCTTAATCTATAATAAACTATAATAAAATAATTTTAATTTCAAATCCATTTGTTTACTCTTAATTAACTTTTCTTCTATTTGAGAGAGAAAGAGAGAAAGAGAGATTTCTTTATTATATAACTAATCTGTGCTTCGCGGGTTTTCTCCATGCCCACGAAACGTTGGCACATGAAGAATGGACCAAGACATGGAGAAAACCCGCGAAGCACAGATTAGTTATATAGAAAGCACCCATGGAAGCATCAAGAAGATTTCTTTATTATTTAATTACAAAAAATCAGGGAATGAAGGAAGTTACTATTCCATTAGCTACAGTTACTTTTTATAATAACAATTTGATAATGATGTTGCAATTTTTTTATTACTGTAATGATGTTTACATTACTAAGTAAATGCTGAGATTATGTTAAGGTTAAGAAGGTCACTTTGAAAAGTAAATTGTCATCACGTGTTACTTACTGAAAGAAGTAACAAGTAATGCTGTAATAAGTTACTTCGTTACGAGTCACATTAAAAAGTAACGAGTTATAAATTGCGAGTTATTTTTTCCAGTAACGAATGATTTTTCCAACTCGTTATATAAGCAACTATTGACTATTCCAACTCTGATGCTACATTATATCATCATAAAAAATTCGTAATAAATCGTTATTACAACATGGTAATTAAATAACTAATTGTAAGTAACGATAATTATAGTAACTATAGTTACTTCCATTTCCTGTGTGATTAAAATATAATTTATCCTGATTTACCTGAATAAAATCTTTTTAATTTGTCATCCAGGAAGTAATACTTTGACACAATAACAGGTTGAATCGGCATTTGAGATTCAATCGCGACATGGAAAGCACCTTTCTTAAAAGGAAGCAATGAATTACCTGAATGGCGATGTCCCTCGGGAAACAGAAGAAGCCTCCGCTGAAAGGATTAAATAAATCGAAATTTCTATAAAAGGATATTAACTTCTATAGAAAATATATTAAGTATATTACTCTGTGATTATACTGTTCGAAGTACATTATTGATTGATTTAAAACTCGCATTAATTTATAATAAATAATTTTTTTCTGTTAATATATTTTTTAATGCTATTTTAATATATTTAATTAATATATTTAACTTTTACTTTTCAATATTTAATTTATATTCTAATATATTTTTTAATGTTATTTTAAATCTCTATACTTCGGTTAATGATATAAAAAATATTACGTAAAGTCATTACCTTTGCCAGACGAATTGATTCCACTGTAGCATTAATAATTTGACATGATTTTCCTACATTTTTTCTATCAATGAACAACGTTCCCCAAAGCCAACATGCAAGACCGAATGGTCCAAGATACAAAATCTCCTTTTTCGAAATAACGGTGCAATTATCCATCGCTAACCATAGTTCACCTAAAACTATATGGTCAATTTTATTATATGTATTTCCGTCATTCTTAATGAGATAATCTATCTTTTTATTCGTTCATTATTATAATATTTTAATGAATTTGTTCAGATTACTTTTTGATTTAATAAACTCATAATAATTTTAATAATTAAAGTTACCACAAAGATCCAATGAACTCTGATGGTTGATGAGCACGATACAGCCCGAATCTTTGACAATATTCTCCTTGCCTCGAAAATGGAAATTCATTCCAATGATCTTTGCTACTGTTACCACGCATCTAGCCGGCACTCTGAAAGATTTTATTTATATTTTAAAGCTCGAAAATTTGCCTTTACATATCAATCATGTATGGAAACTTACAATGCGTTTCTCCAGCTGCCAATACGGAATAGCATAAACGGTATCCATAATCCCGCAGCTAACGCACTTGCTATTATGAAGAAGGTAAATTTCACTCGATATCTCATGTTCTCGCTCAAGGCACATAGCATAACAAAGACAAATAGCAGCACAATGCCAGTCGTTAAGTAAATGCCGCATAGTACTCTGAAATACAAGATTAATTACACTAATTATGCTAATTTATTATATTTTTAAATGTGTTAATTTATTCTATTTTTTTATTATGTGAGAGAAAATTGAGAATTAATTTTCAATGATTTTTAATGAAATAAGATATATGTGTGTGCGCGCAAGCACGCACGCAGTGATGTGTGTGCGTGCGCGCGTGCGTGCCTGCCCATTACTTTGATGTCATTTTGACGCCATTTTAACATTATCATAACTTGTTGTTCTTGAGTAACATTATAGTATAAAATCAAGAATATCTTCGATCTATGACAGATTTTATTTATTATTAAATATTGACCATTGATTATAAAGGCACCGATGAGTTCATATAATATCACAGTAACGACGTTAATTTCCAAACGAATTTAAAGTACGATTTCTCAACGTTCTCAAATATAATATTACGAGTATCGAACCAAACTCGGAAGATTGGACATCAACATAATTTTTAATTACACATCACGCGTTTCATGAATTATTCACTCATTTATGTTGAATTTCGCATTTTGTATTTTGATTATATAAATGATAATATTAATAATATTATACGTGTGCATAAATTACAGAAAATATAGGTAAATAACATTAAAAAAACAAATTGAATTGCAAAATAATACATACATAATCCTATAACACTTTCTGGCATTTGTGAATTTTTTTCATTCATTTAAGCAATGATTTCAATAGAATTTTCTCACAAAATCCGAATCCGAAGAGAAAAGTAATGAATTGGCTCTAATTTATGCAAAAAAAAAAACTAATTTAAAAAATGCAAAAAAATATGTTTTTCCATTTTTAATATTTGTAAAAAAATAATGCAAACCAATAGGACTTTCTATTGGCTTGCAGTGGGATGAAATGAAAACTTAGATCTTAGTCTTTAAGATAAAACGCAAAAAATCTAGTATCTGATAAATGACGTTAGAATATTCAGGAACCATTTTTTTTATACGAGCATCAATTCCAGCAATGCTTTTTAATCCATGCGTGCTGTTCCCTCTGTTTTTCAACGTGCTTCTTATTATTAATGTAACTCTTATTTTGTATGAGTATACTCTTATTTCTCACGAATTACTTTTTTATGTAAGTATATTTATGCCTAGTCCAAACTGGACGCAGCAAACGTCAAGCAACAGAATATCAACCAATCAGCAAGGCGGTACTTTTTATACTACTGTAAATATCGTCTCGCTGATTGGTTGCTGATCCACTGTTTGACGCTTGCTATGTCCAGCCCGAATTAGGCATTACGTTTTATCATTTATCGTATGACGTCATAACAAACGTAATACTCGTATTTCTTGTCAATTATAAGGTAAATTGTTTATATAAAAGATTTGATATCAACAATTAGCACCAAGTTAAATTCTGTTAATTCATAGTTAATTTCTTATCCAAAAAGAAAGTAACAGTAACTTTATACAAACTTACCTTTTTAAAAAAAGCTATAAAATGCGTTAGGTATAAGAGTTACTCGAAGGTATAAGAGTGCGTACTTTTTATAAAGAATCATTTGAACCGATTTCACCGCTAATTACTTAATTGGCCGTGGAAGTGACTAATCGCGTTTACTGTTTAGTAGAACTTTGTACATCTTACTTTTTAAAAAAAAGATTAATAAAGCGCTAAGAATGCGGTTTTTTCGTAAAGAATCATTTGAGCCTGTTTCACCAACGCACAGTGGGCCAGGGATCCTAAACAGTGGCCAAAAGTCAAAATGTTGATGTGAAACTCAGTGTCTAGAAGTTTTTAAGATCGCTAATTTCGAATCTAATGTTAAAACAAAAAATTTTTAATGATGCAATATAGCAAACCTAAACTTCAAAACTAGCAAAATTTGTGTGAAAATTGTTTTCCATAACTTTTTTATGTTGCTAAGTACAATCTAAAAATTAAATGTTATGTCTATGATTGGCCTACAACACTATAATTTTTAGAGTCTATCACAAAAGAAGTTATAGTGCGATTCTAGACTCCTTCAAGGAGCTTAAGTTTTACGTGAGTCCTCTTATATATGAAAATGTATACTGTTTGTTCGCGATTTTCATGATATTTACAAGGAATATTCATACAATAATAACATTTCATCGACATTTGTACATTCTGTGACGATTTCCTTACTGATCCGAAATATTCGGCATATTGGGAATACGAATCAAACTTTTTATAAATATTTAGCGCTAGCTAGGAAAGTAGTTGACGAAACAAAGTGAGAAGAAAACAAATATTAGTTTTGTTACACTTTCACTGTACAAGACCGATATTTCTATTTTTAATCCACCATTTTGAATTTTTTGCTTTTAATATCAGATTTGAAATCAGCGACTCCAAAAACCACTAAGTACCAAATTTCACGTAAATCCATCATTTTGAATTATTGCCACTTTTTGGAGTCAGTGCGGCAACGATCCTCACGTACAGATACAGAGACAAATTCTGAGCTACTAGATGTCAAATGTCACATATTTGCTGCACATCAAGTGAAAGTAATAGTGTACAGTAATAGAAATAAAATGGTGCCATTAATATTTCTATAGGAATGTAGGAGAATGTAGGAGAATGATTAATTGGGAGAAGGGGGGATAGGGAATTTATTACCATAAATTGTGAAAATTTGATACTTTATGTCTTTCCTTATTATAGCATGTATTACTTTAGGTTAATTATTGACTATTTTGCAAACGTCAACATCCTTGGAGATAAAATTAACGGATAGACACTTTCATATTGCCGATATATTTTCATAAATTGTGCATTTGTCTATTTAGATGATTTTTTTCAAAGACCTACCAATAAGAAAATATTGTACTTCATTTATGTTCATAAAACTTATGTTCTTATTACTTTCATTACTATACAATAAGATAATATAATTCTCTACATTTGTTCGAGATGCATCCGAAAAACAGTTTTCACAGATTCGATACATGCGACATGTGGATTGAAAACTTCTAGAACAATTTCAAACGTTTCTAGAAGTTTCCAAAAAACAAACTTGACAATCATCTCTAGTTGATAAAGTCAAAAAATATAATCAAAGCCGCATATAGTACGTACACAAAAAACCAACTGCTAAAACGGCAATCAAATTCAGATCGGTCACAGTGCGCGCGCGCGCTCGCGTGATGCGAAACGCGCAACATACTAACATCCCAATCAGAATTCTTGATTTGGCGGGCGCGTATGACAATAGCGTACCGCTTGGCCATCGCAATCGAGAATTGCCAATCGCTGCCCGAATCATGGCGTTACCTCAACTTTTATAATTTTTCGAGAATAGGCGATTGAAAAGGGAAGCCTTTGTTCTATAAAATGGATAAAAGGCCGAATCGAGCAGTGATCCTTCTTCTTCGGTTTTTTCGATCAAAGTTAACTCTCCGCTATACAATGCCATCGCCTTTGAGATTCGCAAGAAACCGCCGCGTTCGACTTGTGATCGAAGATTCGCGTAAATCGAACTTTAGCTCAAACCATCTTCTCGCTCAAATTCTCTCTCTATCGCTCTCGCTTTGTCTCGTTCTCGAACAACATTAATATCAAAAGATGAATTTTGGCCACATTTTGGGATCCCTGGCTCATAGTGGGATTTTTTAATTATTTTAGCAGAAAAATATTACCAAAAATATATATAATAAGCAACATATGTTTACAATCTAAATTAAAATGTTACATATATTGCAGAAAATAAATTCCACAAAAAAGTATAAATAAAAAACTTTAATTTTTCTTCGAAAATATTTTTATTGAAATTCTTTCTATTTTGAGTCAAGTAATAATAATTTTAATTGTTCTTTAAAGATAATTACACAGGCCCACAAAAAAAGTACCCTGGAGTGGAAATCCAATTAATCTTATGTATTTTGAGTCGCTGAATACGAATCTGACATCAAAATCAGGATCATCCTAGTACGAAATCTCAAGTTGTTGTACACCTATCGCGTATGCAGATGAAATGTAAAAAAAATTGAAGTTCGTGTTGAGCGCAACATTAAACCGCAAGAGTGTCTAAAAAAAAAGTGGTCAGGAATATCATTAATTACGTTTTTGATTAAAAAATTTTGAAAAAATGACCTATAGCGTATGTTTATAAAAGGACTATCGTTGGAAAAGGGAGGATTTGTAGATTACGAAAATGATAGGATACCATCTTTAAAATCACAACTCTCTGACAGCCAGGACAAAGAGGATGAGTAATGAATGAATTTTTGTTCATTAAATGTATCCATCGCGTAGTTCAATAATTTTTGCACTAGCTTAATGTTTATTACTCTATGTTTACTCTTTATGACGGAATAGGGTTGCCTTTAAAAAACTAGTCCAAAGTGAGGGTTGCCAGCATTTTAAAAAACCGCTTCAGTAT